AAATTTAAGAGAACTCATAGGCCAGTATTTAGGAGAGTGCACGCTCTGGGAAGTTTGCCTACATCTGGTTTGAAACAGTTAAATTGCTTAGCAACATCCAAATCAGTACTGATCAAAAAAAATGCCTGGTTAAACGGTCACCTAGTTCTAACGGAGGTTGTTACTGTTCCAGCTGTTTCAGTGATTGCAGAATCAGTCTTCATCAAATTTGTCTCTGGACCCCAACCCTTGGGTTTGTTCAAGACCTCAGCTAGACTGAGAACCTATACAGGGAAACCTGTACAGATTAAGGGTATAACTTAGGTTCTGGTCTCGAAGCAGTTGGTTCGGTTACCACTGTAGTAAAAGGCTCAAGCCCAAGCTTGATGGGGTGAAAAGATTCACCTAGATTGGCTCAACATATTTGAATTAGAAAATAGCTGCCTGAGTGAAGTCCTATTAAATATCCAGCTGTTTTTCAGGAAGGTTTAGGGACTAGCAAAGGGGCCAAGGCTACCTTGTATATTGACTAGGAAGCAATTCCACGATTCTCCAAGGCCTGCCCAGTGCCAATTGGCTTGCAGGCAAAAGTAGAGGCAGAAATCAGAATGCTGGAAAGCGAAGGAACTATCAAATCAGTACAGTTTGCAGAATGGGCAGCACCAGTCGTACTAATGTGAAGCCTGATGGATTTGATTGAAATCCCATAAATGCAAACCAACCGCAGAAATTGCTTTTCACAGCTGAATACCTACCCAATCCCTCTTATCAAGGATTTATACATAAAGCTGGCAGTGGGGGCTGTCCTTCACAAAGCTGGACATGAGGCATACGTACTTCCGATTGCTGTTAGATGGACATTCTTAGAAATATGCTACAATTAATATCCATAGGGATTTGTGCCATTGTACGATACTGCCATTTGGGGGTATCGTCACTCAATAAACGTCTTCAGTGGATGATCGAAAACATTTTACAAGGTCTACCCCAGGTTACCATTTATCTAGATGATGTGCTAATAAAAGGGAAGACCAGTAAAGAGCATTTGGAGAACTTGGACACAGCTCTTAGATGTTCCTCCCAGGCCTGTGTACACAGGCAAAGGGCAAAGCATATGTTCCAGGCACCCCAAGTGACCTACTTAGGCTAGAGTCAACAAGACCAGGTTACACCGTTGGAAGATAAAGTGAGGGTGATTAAAGGTATCCAGAGCTTACGTTTTCCTTGGGCTGGTGAATTATTACAGAAAGCTCATATGTAACCTGGCCTCCATCCTTGCACCAACTCTTAAAGGATCAGCCTTGGAAATGGTTGTGTAGCCAAGCCATCGCTTTCAGGGAAGTGAAGAAACAGCTATCATCCTCTAATGTGTTAGCACACTATGATCCCAAGGGAGATCTGGTATTGACATGCAATGCTTCCCTATATAGCATAGAGGGTAGTATTAGCACATAGGTCGATCAATGGAGAGGATCGCCCAATAGTGTATGAGTCCAGGACCCCAGCTAATGTTGAGTGTAAATGTGCCCTGACAGAGAAGGAAGGTTTGGTGGTCATATTTGGAGTCAGGAAGTTCCACCAATACCTTTTTTTACAGATGTAAATTATTAATAATAACCAACCACAAACACCTGCTAGGTATATTCAGGCGGTTCTGCCCATAGCTTCAGACAAAATTCGGTGGTAGGCTCTAATACTAAGTATGTATAATTACAAGTTGAAACATCATCCAGGAAGCCACGTAGCAAAAGCAGATGCATTGAGCCACCTACTGTTGGCCATTGCACCACTGGTGGTACTGCCACTGAAAGAGTCCATAATGATTTTAAATTTTCTGGACACACTTCTAGTCACAGCTGACAATAGCAGACTTTGGACACAAAGGTCCGGTCCTGGCAAAACTGAAACAGCTGGTGGTGATTGGGGTGGGGGGCAGTGTCAAAAGACCGTCACAACAGCATTGAAACCTTTGTGGACTCAGACTCTAGATCACAGTAGATGATGGCTTATTATGGGCAACAAGAGTAATTATCTGGTAGCAACCTTTGCTCGGGACAAAGGCTGAACTCCTCCAGGGTCATCCAGGGGTTTCCAAAATGAAAATGTTGGCAAAGTTATGTCTGGTGGCCAGGATTGGATGCAGAGATAACTGCATTGATGGGGCAGTGGCCACAGTGCCAACAAGGACAAAAATCACCACCAGCAACTCCCCACATTCATGGGAATGGCTGGGTTAACCCTGGACTCAGTTACACATCAACTATGTAGGTCCCTTCATGGGCTGAATGTTCTTGGTCATTGTGGATGCCCATTCAAAGTGGCTGGACATACATAGAGTTCATTCATCAAACATGGGAATGACAATAGAAAAACTGTGCACATATTTTGCAATACACAGACTCCTAGCAATGCTGGTGACAGATAATGGGCCATCATTTAGTAGCAGGGAATTTTGAGTACTTCCTAAATTTCATCCATAACAGCATCTGGATGCATTCCTGCAAGAGTCTCCAATTTACTATGATCCCTGTAGAGGCTAATAACTTCTTATAGTAGATTTGAATTTCTTATCCATCAATGTAATAAAATGTCAAATTTTGATGTAAAATTCTAAGACCACTACTGTGATAAACAAATTAAAATCAACATAGACTAACATTGGACATAGTGGGAACTGCCGATGCTGGAGAATCTGAGATAACAAGGTGTAGAGCTGGATGAACACAGCAGGCCAAGCAGCAAGAGAGGAGCAGGAAAGCTGACGTTTCGGGTCTGGACCCTTCTTCAGAAATGGGGGAGGGGAAGGGGATTCTGAAATAAATAGGGTGGGGGGGGGAGGCGGATGGAAGATGGATAAAGGAGCAGATAGGAGGAGAGGAGACAGACAGGTCAAAGAGGCGGGCATGGAGCCAGTAAAGTTGAGTGTAGGTGGGGAGGTAGGGAGGGGATAGGTCAGTCCAGGGAGGATGGACAGGTCAAGGAGGGGGGATGAGGTTAGTAGGTGGGAGATGGGGGTGGGGCTTGAGGTGGGAGGAGGGGATAGGTGGGAGGAAGGACGGACAGGTTAGGGAGGTGGGGACGAGCTGGGCTGGTTTTGGGATGCGGTGGGGGGAGGGGAGATTTTTATGCTTGTGAAGTCCACATTGATACCATTGGGCTGCAGGGTTCCCAAGCGAAATATGAGGTGCTGTTCCTGCAACCTTCGGGTGGCATCATTGTGGCATTGGACGAGGCC